CCCTGCTGCCTGCCCAGGCCCTCCCTGAAGCATTACTGGAGCACCCCAACGAGTGCTGCTTGTCCCCCTGGGGAGTCTGGCCCTGGCTCGGATTGACCCCTCTGTGCCTCTCTCCCATGCCAGTGTTAGCAGCTCCCAGGCCAGGGTCCTGCTGGTGCAGATAAGAACAGCAAGAAACAGCTGGCTGAGCCACATGCAGTCCAGGGTGACAGTGAGCCTGCTCCTCACCCAGCTCCTAGCCTGCAGCACTTCGGGTATTTGTCAGATGTCACAGGCAGGTGTGCTGTGCTCAGCAACAGCTGTATCCTCCAGGGATGCTCCCCATGGAGCTTACTCAGGGCCCCGCATGGCAGCCCCACCCTGGTGCTGCTGCTAGGAGAGAGAGAGAGGACCTACTGCTCCAGGCCCTGACTGTGCAACCTACCAGGGCATGCCCAGGCTCATGGGGCTACCTTAGCACCCTCTCCCCTGCGGTGGACGACCCCTCTGTAGCTTACAGCCCCAGTTATAGGTGGGAAACCAAGGGTTCCCAGCCCCTGCTGCTGATGGCTGGAGCACGGGAAAACTTCCCGGGCATGTAGGCCCACAGCTGAGGCACTGACCCTTGCCTGCTTGACATGGATCTGGGTCACAGCCCTGGAGTTGCCCTGGCTCCCCTGTGCAACAGCTCAGCTCATTTCCTCCTAAACCTCAAGGCCCCTCTTATTTGCCCCGCTCAGCCCTCCAGTGCCCACTCCAGACACTGTGGGGCACAGTAGGGATAAGAAAACCAAGTTGGCTGCCCACAGAACTGGCCACAGCAGGATCCAGACTCTGGCCTGGCCTGAGCTCCCAGAAGTCCCTGCCACCAATGGCAGGCAGAATCTAAGAGCTGCCCAGGACCAGTCTGCTGCTCTGCCAACCAGCTGCCTTGCCACCCAGCTTATCCTTACTGTGCCTCAGTTTCCTTTTCTATGAAATGGACATGAACTGGCTCCTGGGTGCTTGTGAAGTGCTTGGCCCTGCCCCAGACCCGTAGGAGCCTGGCCCTTCAACTTTGCATAATTGTGCCTTCCTCACCCTCACTCTGTTCTCACTGTCCTGCTCGTGGCTCCTCGGCCAAATGTGGAACACCGTCCAACCACATGGCATCTGCAAGGCTATCTCCTGAGGCTGTCTGCCCCATCCTCCCTGTGCTGGCCCAGAGTGGACAAGTGTGCAGGGGTGCTGAGGGAGGAGGAGCATTGCAGCACACTTCTCTGCCCAGGAGGCTGTGGCTCCCTAATGTGTGGCCCTGTGTCTGTGGGGTCCCAAGTTCAAGCCTGCAGTCCTGGACACACCCACAATAAAGGGAGGAGACCCCAACTCTGCACATCCTAAAGGCAGGTGCCATCCACTGGAACATGAAGGATGGGGCAGCTGTGCCAGGGGGTGCTGGTGCTTCTGGCATTGCTCCCTGCGACCATGTCACTGGGGTGTGAGAGATACACGTGCAGCCTGGGCTCCTCCTGGGTGCAGCTCCTGGGAATCTCCAGGACCTTGGAAAGGGTGGACTCTGCTATGGTAGGAGCCTGTGTCTATGTGGAGGACACAGTGGGGGCAGTGCCCACATTCCACTGGAGCTTGTGGGAACTGCACCCTCAGAACCAGGAGCCCTGACGGAGACCCAGCTCTGCCCCCAGGGCCCTGGGCTGCTGGATTACGGATGAGCCTCCTGCCCACCACAGGTGCATTTGCCCACTTACTGTCCCCTCCACGGGGTGGCACTTGGGGAGAGGGAGGTGAGGCACCTGCCAGGTGTGGGCTGGGGAAAGTTCAAATTGCTCCGCACTTTCTTCTGTGTAAATGAGGGAATCAAATTAATAGAGTATTTCTGAGCCAGTCCCAATCTACCATATTCCCTGAAGCTATCTAGGGGGGAAATCCCTGTGAGCTATTCTAAGCCCTAAGTGTATTTCTGGAAGCAGCATGACAGGGTTCAAGGGAAATCCCACAATAATCAGAGTCGAGTAGCCGAATAGCTGAACAGCTAGCCAAGGAACCTTGCTTTGCTCTGCTCCCTGCAAGAGGGAGCGGGGCTGCGGCTTCACCCCCTTTCATTCAGGGTGGGAAGGCCCATGTGTGGTGCCCGTGGCCAAGGTGTGTTTACTGTCCACCTCCTGCTCCCAGGACACATCGGATAACCATCACCAACTTCTGCCTCGGGAAGCATCTCGTGAGCGAGGGCGACCTGCTGAAGGACCAGAGGGGGAGCCCTGCCTACATCAGTCCCGACGTGCTCAGCGGTATGTGCATGTGTATGCTGGACTGTGGGCCTCAGGGCCCCACGAGGCCAAGCCTGCAGCAGTTCGTTCCCTGGCAGAGTGTCTGGCAGGCTCAGGGTAGTCCCAGAGCAGTGCCAATCTGCCTATAGGTGCAGAAGCTTTGGGCAGGGGATGGGGAGGTCACAGAGGCTGCCCTTGTGCCTGAGGCCAGTGCTAGCAAAGAAAGGAACATGGTTTTGGTCACAGTCGTGCAGGACCCCGGGGATGTGCCTGAGGAAGTGACACATGAGCTCCAGACTGGAGAAATAGCAGTTCCCTGGATGGATGCCCCTGGGGTGAAGCCGAATCCCTGAGGATGGCCAAGCACCTGCTAGTGCCCAAATGAGGCTGCCTCAGAGGGCGGGAGGACTTGGTCCCACAGGCCCAATGGGGGCCACTTGGACCAAGTCTTCTTGAAGTGGGCGGCAGCAAAGATGTCACTCAATCCGGCCTTTTACTGTGTTTGCTGGAGGTGTACCAGGCAAGGCATCATGGGGACAGCAGTAAACAAAGCAGCCTCTAGGGAGGGGTATCAGCAGATGGCCCATAAGTACAGCTGCTCTGTGGGACTGCAGCCTGTGAAGGACCCTGAGGCGTGGTGCTCTCCAGGAAGCCCTGTGGCACCCACTGCAGGGGCCAGTTGGATGCACCTTCCACCCTCCTGGCTCCAGCTTCCTTCTAGGATGCTTTGCTCAGAAAGCACAGGCCATGGCCCTGATGGCACCTCCTTGCACATGCGCACACACATCCTCTGCTCCCAGCAGACCCTGGGGCCTGAGCAGTGCACGGCGGGCATTAGGAGGAGGCCCAGGTGCTCAACAGTGTCTTTCCCCACCAGGGTACACACTGGGCAGCTCAGGCAGGGCATAGGGTCTACCCCAGATGGGCTTTGCGGTTTCCCGTTTCATGTTGGAAGGAACAGGCTAGGCAGTGGCTGGCTCTCAGGAGGGGTTGCCTAAACACAAGAACAGTGGCCATGGACCCCCTCACTGCAGTGTGGCAGTGCACGTCCTTGGCACCTGACTTCCATCTGTGGTGGAGTCTGTGAGGCCACAGTGTCTGCCAGTGCAACCAAAAGCCTGTGCTCCCCTCTGCTGCACCCAGGATAGCCAGCCCAGAGGTTTACTCACCTGGCTGGCAAGCAGCAGTGTTGTTTTAAGATACATGTATCTATCTATCTAAAAGGCAGTTAGAGAGAGAGAGGTTTGCCCTCTGCTGGTTCACTCACCAAATGACTACCGTGGCCAGGGCTGGGCCAAGCTGGAGCCAGGTTTCCTGCATAGGTGGCTGAAGCCCAGGCACCTAGGCCACCTGTTGCTGCCTTCTCAGGCACATGATTAGAGAGCTGGGGAGGAAGCAGAGCAGCTGGGACTCAACCAGCTGATGCCAGGGTGAAGAGTAGTGGCTTGGACCCGGCACAGTAGCCTAGTGGCTAAGGTCTTCGCCTTACACACCTCAGAATCCCATATGGGTGCCGGTTCTAATCTCAGCGGCCCCGTTTCCCATCCAGCTCCCTGCTTGTGGCCTGGGAAAGCAGTAGAGGACAGCTCACCTTGGGACCCTGCACCCACGTGGGAGACCCAGAAAAAACTCCTAGCTTTGGATCAGCTCCAGTTGTTGCAGCTACTTGGAGAATGAATCAGTGCACTGAAGATCTTCTCTGTATATCTGACTTTCTGATAAAAATAAATAAATCTTAAAAGAGTGGTGGCTTAACATGTGGCACATGACACCAGCCCCAAGGAACAAACATTTTAATGTCAGCCAGACCTGGGGTCAAGCTGGGAGGTTGGCCCGGGAGGCTCCCACATCTGCAGCCTGACCTTGGAGGTGGCAGTAAGTGCTGGGAAGGAGTCAGGCCAGCCGTGGGATGCTGACTGGGACCTCCTGAGAACCGGCTTGTGTGGAGCTGGTCACAGTTCCACAGTCATCTGTGGCCGTTTGCCATGCGTACCCCTCTGCTGGGTATGGGGGCTGGAGCCCCAGAAAGGGTGCCAGCGGGAGGCACCATCTCCTCACTGAGTGTGTGTGTGTCACCTCTGCAGGCCGGCCTTACCGGGGCAAGCCCAGTGACATGTGGGCCCTGGGTGTGGTGCTCTTCACCATGCTGTACGGCCAGTTCCCCTTCTACGACAGCGTCCCACAGGAACTCTTCCGCAAGATCAAGGCCGCCGAGTACACCATCCCCGAGTGAGTCGCACTCCCTGGGGGTGGGAAAAGACACACACCCGCCCCCACGAGCCTGGGGTGAGTTGCTTTCTGAGCCCCATCCCTTCCCCTTGCCCTATGTAGAGATGGGCGGGTCTCCGAGAACACCGTGTGTCTCATCCGGAAACTACTGGTCCTCGACCCTCAGCAGCGCCTGGCCGCCGCAGACGTCCTAGAGGCCCTAAGTGCCATCATCGCATCATGGTAAGTGGGCAGGCGCCGGGCTGGGTGCCTGGCCCCGATGCACGCCACAGCCTGTTTCTCTGGCAGAGGCTGAGGCAGGTGTCCCTGTGGGCACAAAGGGGGGAGGCAGCAGGGCATCTCCATGGCAGCTCTTGGGTAGGCACTGCCTCACTGGGCTCTCATGACAGCCTGCAAAGCAGAAACTGTCCCCTGATAGTGGATGGGAAAGCTGCGGCTGAGCCAGGCAGTCAGTCAGGACACGGAGGTCTGGGTAATGACTGGCCTGTGCTCTCCCCTCCAGGCAATCCCTGTCGTCACTCAGTGGGCCTTTGCAAGTGGTCCCCGACATCGATGACCAGATGAGCAATGCAGACAGCTCTCAGGAGGTGAGCGGGGTAGGCAGGCCCAGCATGGCAGCTTCATGCCAGTGCTTGAGGCAGGAAGGGCCGACCACATGCGTCCCCCACTCCCATGCTGATGCCTCTTGGCCTGCAGGGGCTGCAGCGGTGCTGCCAAGTGGAGGCTGGCTCCCAGGCAGCCCCACGGTGGACGGACACGGAGGGCTTTCTCACCGCTTCCTCTCTCTGCCCCTCTGACTCACTGGGTTCTCACTCACCCTTCCGGCTTTTCATTTTTTCGATGATTCATTCATCCCTGTATTCTCTTCGCTGGTCCCTGTACTGGAGAAAGTGCTGAGCCCAGGGTGGAGCAGAGAGATCTGGGGTAGCTAGGCAGCTGCTGGCAGGCAGGTAGCCATCGGGTGTACCCTGGAGAAATGCTGGGCCCGTGGTGGTGTAAGGACCTGCCCTCCAGGGCAGCTAGGGCCACTACTGCTGAGAGCGGGCAGGGAGGCCGGAGGGATGGGCAGTTCTAGCCTCCGTCCCCACCCCCGCATCCAGCCCCTTCCTTCCTCGGCTGCTCTGCAGCAGTCCTGGGACAGCTCCGCCCGCCACAGGGCCTGTGTGGCCTCTGTTCTTCATCCCCACTTGCTGGAGGACCAGAGATGTTGAGAGGCGAGAGGACTTTGCCTTCACCACCCATCTGGGACGCAGGGGCTTGAGATTAGCACTGAGGGCCTGCGGTCTCTTCCTGTGCGCCCCTGGTGCTGAGCCTGGGGCCTGCATGTGGCTGAGGTAGATACACAAGGTCATCTTGGCACCCCAGCCTGCCTTGCCCTTAAGAGGGTTAAGTGGGGGGCCTGAGGTGATAACGTAATGGTTAAGGTCCTCACCTTGAACGCGCCAGGATCCCATATGGGCACCAGTTCTAATCCCAGCAGCCCCGCTTCCCATCCAGTTCCCTGCCTGTGGCCTGGGAAAGCAGTGGAGAACAGCCCAAAGCTTTGGGACCCTGCACCCGCATGGGAGACCCAGAAGAGGCTGCTGGCTTCGGATTGGCTCAGCTCCAGCCATTATGGCTGCTTGGGGAGTGAACCATTGAACGGAAAATCTTCCTGTCTCTCCTCTCTGTATATCTGCCTTTCCAATAAAAATAAGTGGGAGAGACAGGTCTCCCATCTGCTGATTAACTCCCAAATGGCTAGAGTTGCTGGGGTTAGACCAGACTGAAGCCAGGAATCTTTCCCAAGTCTCCCACATGGATTCAGGGGCCTAAGGACTTGAGCTATCCTCTGCTGCTTTTTTCCAGGTATATTAGTAGGGAGCTGGATCTGATGCTCATATGGGATACTGGTGTTAAGGCAGAGGCTTAATGTACTGTGCCATGATAATAATGTATTGTACTCCACCCAGCCTACCTGTGTGGGCCCACTGCTTGGCCTGTGTTGATCCTGAAGCTCAGAGGACTTTTGTGAGGAGAGACACGTGCCCACTTCTAAGGAAAAAACAGGTGTAACCCCTGCTGAGATTAGGAAGTTGGGAGGGGGCCTGCGGACAGACCATATATGTAGTGCAGGTGGCAACTGCTCCAGTCCCCTCTGGGTGGCCATCAAGGCCATGTGCGTGGGCTAGACGACTCCAGGGACCCACACGCTGTACCCTAGACATACCAAGGCTATGAGCACTGGGAGGGGTGGCTGCAGGGGCCATGCTGCTGGGCACTCACTGCTTCCATGTTCTCTGTGTCTTGCCCCATGCCTGGGCTCTGCAGGCAAAGGTGACGGAAGAGTGCTCCCAATACGAATTTGAAAACTACATGCGGCAGCAGCTGCTGCTGGCTGAGGAAAAGAGCTGCCTCCACGAGGCCCGGAGTTGGGTACCCAAGCGCCAGTTTGGCAGCGTGCCCCCCGTGCGGCGTCTTGGCCACGACGCGCAGCCCATGAGCTCCCTGGACACGGCCATCCTGGCGCAGCGCTACCTGCGCAAGTAGTGCCCTCGGCAGGAGCACCAGCACCACCACCTCCTCATGGACCCCAGCAAGAGGCCTGGCTACAGGGCCAGACTGCCCCAGGTTGCAGTCTGACGGGGCAAGGACAGGGACAGCCCAGGTCACACACATGGCATCAGTAGAGGTACCACAAAGCTACCTTTCGGAATGATCGCTTGATCGGTTGGTTTTTTGTTTTTTTTTTAATCCAAGAAGCTTAGATAACTAATCTGCTTTGAATCATGACGTTTTAATCTACCTCTGTCTCTGTAACCATGCTGTCTCTAGACTGAGTCAGAGTGAGGAGGAGGAGCCGACCACCTGCTCCCGTGGTCCACATCGCCGACCATGCAGCTCGCTGCTGGCTGCCTGAACCGAGGCCCCTCCCTACCCGCCACCCTCCTGCCCAGGCCCCCTCAGTCCAGGTTTTAGAACACCTTCACCTCATCTTAAGCTGAATTCAAATATATTTATTTTTTTACTGAAACCAATTTCTCTCCCATCTCCAGGTGGCTTGGCCCACAGCCACTCCCTGCCCCAGCCTAGCTGGACCTCAGGGAGTCACACCCCACCCCAGGGGGCTCCCGCCCGGCCTCCAGGCACAGAGAAGCCCTTCTTGCCAGCTCCTGCCCACCTGCCGCCCGTCAGCCCCTGTTTCTGGTGACGGGGAGGCCTCGCTAGCCATGGCTCTGTGTCTGCCATCTCAGGAGCCACCGAGGTGCTGGGCACACACATTAACCTGGCCTCCTCCTCCCTCCCTCAGTGTGGCAGCAAGCTGATGCCAGATTGCCCAGCTGGAGGGCAGGCTCCGGGCCTGGTGTGACCCAGTGGCCTGGCATGCGTGCTCTGTTTCCCTCACTAACCACTCCTGTGGGTGAGAGAAGCAGGGTGGGAGGGGCCCCTCTTCGGCCCCTGCCCCTCAGCGTGTACTCTCCTGAGCGACCCCGGCCAGGTCTTCTGTGGGGTGGGGGCTCGGGGAAAGAGCTCCAGGGATTGGGGGACCCTGCCATGCCTGGCTGGAGAACAGCGTGCTGCCCTTTTTGAGCCGCAATCTTGAAGTGATGCCTGTCTTGCCAGAACCGCTGTTCTCCCCTGCCTGGTGCCCAGGAGGCGTTGGCCTGGCATCATTAGGTTTTTCAGGCTGAGTGTGTCCCTCTGGGCATCCCCCTTCCCATCTGTCCTTGTTCCTCCCCAGCGGGCAGGTGACTGAATTTCCCAGATGGTGAGCTCCCCACCCCCACCCCCACCCTGCCAGCTGACTCACTGTGAGTGACCTTGGGCAAGTCCCCAAACCTTGTGCCTCAGTTTCCCCATCTGGAAAAAATGGGGCCACCTCTTGCCAGCAGTAGCAGGGCTGCCCATGCCCCTTCCTCCCCATGTCCCACTCCAGCCTGCGGGCTCCTCAAGCCTCTGCCTCGGGGAGGTCTGTGGGGGCCCACCTGTGCCCAGCACTCACTCCGGGCACCAGGCTCCATGTCAGCTGCTGGGGCAGATGTGGTACGGTGGGGGTGGGAGTGCCCTCTTTTCTATATTTATTTCATAAAAGTCTCCCAAGGGAGCACAAGCGCAGTCGGCCCGGAGCTCCCAGCCCGGGAGTGGCCAGGGAGAGTCCGAGGCAGGGCCAGCTCAGTGGAGCCGGGCCCAGTGGCCTCCCAGGCGCCTCAGGCTGCTCTCCACGTGTGGTCTTTCCTGTACTCTCCAAATACCCTTGGGCCTGCAGAGCCACGTCAGATGGAGCAGCCCCTTCCTGGGTCAGCCCAGGCCTCTGGTCACGTTTCCGGCAAAGCAAATGAGAGGAGCTTGGGTCCGCCCTCACTGGCTACCACACACGGAGAGGTCCTGTTGTAAAGACACAAAATGGAAAAAGTCACAAAAAAGTTTGTATAAAGACATATTTTTGTACTACATGGGGACTCTTCCTGCATGTTAGCAATAAAACTTCCTGATCTGGAGCCACTGAGGCCCGTGTCGTCTGCCTTTGTTGTCCTGCTTTCCTGCCTACCTGCCTGTGCCTCTGCCAGTCCAGTTGGGTTTCTGGCCCGCCCCCCGCCACTGACACTCCACCCCGTCAGCAGGTAGCACAAGCCTCACTGTCTTGACCTGGGGAGGGAGCCAGGACCACACAGCTGCAAAAGTGTGGTACCTCCTTGGAGCCCACCCGCCTGCCCGCCTGCCCATCCAGCATAGCTGGGGTAAGGAGAGGGCCAAGCCAGACCGCCTTCTGTGCCCCCACCCCTTCCCTCTTGGCCCTTAGGAAGCCAAGGGGTTCCTTCCTTCCTCTCCTCTTTCCTTCCTTCCTTTGCCTAAATTTAGGCTTTGCAGATTGCGTGTGCTGTCTGCCCCTCCCCCAGCACAGCACAGCCGACCCACAGAATTCCAGATCCTGTGCCCAAGTCCAAGTCCCAAAGAAGCAGAAATCCATGCAGGCAGAGCCTTTCCCAGGTGAGAGTCCAACAGCGGGCTCTTCTCCAAGATGAAAGAGGCCCAATTCTCAGAGGACAGGACAATTCTCAACCCTCTCTTTGTCCACATGAAGTGTGCCCAAATGTAACCTCGTCCAGTCCAGGGCTACTGCCTGCTCCCAGCCCACAACCCTACTCGCCAGCCGCTTCCCTGAGCCACGTCTCCATTTGCAGCCCTGCTCCTGTCCCTCTACTCTTAGGCAGCCACCCCGGCAGGCTTCCATAGAGCAACACAAGATGGCAAAATTCCAGGCACTCAGGATTGGTCTGCAGAGCCTGGAACTAGGCCCTGGCCCACATGGGCCACTGCAGGCAGGGGGATTCAGGAACCTTGGCTTGACTGTGGAACCTGGAAAGCCAAGGGAAAGTTGTCAGGAACATGTGTGCGGTCCTTGTGGGCAAGGTCAGAGGATAATGGCCTGCTTGGTTATCTTCAGCATCCCCGAGAGAGGGTTTCAGAGGAGCAGGGCCAGTGGCACAGCTGTCTGAGGCAGGCAAGGAGACAACCTTTTCTGAGCTGTGAATTATTCTCTCATATCCCCTGTCCATGGTGAGCCTGCCTGCTGGCCCTGATTTCCAACAGGCACAGAATTTGACCA